GGCTTCTTCCTGTTTTCCCTTTTGCCTCCCTGCATTGTGCCTACATATGCAAATTAATCACCATCTTTGTTGTCAGTTAACTGCCGTCTGAGTTGGCAGTTAATTTGCATATAGCCCTGATTAGCCAATGAAAAGGGTAGCGTTGTTTGCCAATTACCATTTTTCTCTTTTATTAGTGTAGATTATAAACAAAGCTGACATTCTAATGTTATTCTAAAGTTACCTTGTCAGTAACCTTCTGTCTCTCATCGCCTTTAAGATTCATTCTTTGTCTTTAATGTTTGACATTTTTATTATGGTGTGTTTTGGAGTGGGTCTCTTTGGGTTCATCTTGATTTGAACTCTCTGTGCTTCCTGAATTGTGTAACTTTTCCCTTCACCAGGTTAGCAAAGTTTTCTGTCATTATTTCTTTGAACAGGCTCTCCATTCCTTGCTCACTTTTCTCTCCTTCTGGCACCCCTATGATGCAAATGTTGTTACATTTCATGTTGTCCCCAAGTTCCCTTAAACTATCTTCCTGCTTTTCAATTCTTTTTTCTTTTTTGCTACTCTAAGTAGGTTTTGCTTGTTTTTTTACCTTGTCCTCCAAGCCACTGATTCAGTCTTCTGCCTCCTTTAATCTACTTTTGTTTCCTTCCAGTGTATTCTTGATGTCAGATATGTTATTCTTAATTTTCAACTGATTATTATTTCTGGTTTATATTTCTTGTTTTATACTATTGTAGTTCCCACTAAGTTTCTTGAAATTCTCACTAAGTTCATTGAGCATCCTTATAACCATTACTTTGAACTCTATATCTGATAAATTGCTTGCTTCCATTTCATTTCGCTCTTTCTGGAGTTTCCTCCTCTTATTTCATTTGGGGGTTGTTTCTCTGTCTCTCCCTTTGTATTTGTTTCTGTGTATTAGAGAAAATTGCTATGCCTCCCAGTCTTCATAGGATTGCCTTACAAGTAAGTGTTTTGTGGGGCCCAGTGGTGTAATCTCTTGGATACCCCAAGCTGGGTGATCCAGGAATGTCCCTGGTTGTGAGTTACTTGTGCTCTCCCATTATAATTGGGTCCTGTATGCTGCTCTCCTGCTCATGGGAGGAATCTCCTCTCAGGCTGGCTGACATTTAGGCTCACCCCTGACCAAGTTGTGAGAACTGTTGTGCAGGAGCTGACAGAACAAAACAAAACAAGAAACAAAATAAAAACATATACAATTCACCTACAACAACAAATGTAGCCACAAAAGAAGAGAATTAGGAAGGAGAGGGATCCAGAATCTTACTCTGCCCTCAGCTGCACAGAGATCCTCGTATGCAATCCAGTGGTATCAGCTGGAAACCTGGAATTTCTATCATCTCTCCTATGAGGGGAAAGCACCAGTCAGGTTCCTTGGTTGGTGGGGTGGTTACCCGCCCCCCCCAAGTGACTGATGCTTCCTGAGACTGTTCAAACCTATAGGCTTGGCCTCTGCTTCTCTCTCCCCTGCAGAGCTCAAGATGCAGGGCTCCTGAGGGTGAGGCTGGATGTATCGCCTAGGGTGGGGTTTTTTCCTTTTCCTGAGCTGTGGCTACTAGAATGGTCCAGAGCCTCTGAGGAAAATGGCCATTTCAGTTGTGAGGGTGCAACCGGATGCAGGTCTCTCAGCCACCTCTTTTCCATACCCAGTGTTTCCTACCCAAGCCTTTTATCAGGTATCTTCAGTTCATACCTCTCTCCCTCCACTGAAGCCTGGAGTAAGTCAGTTGCTAAAAATGAAAATCCTGTGCTCTGGGTTTAAAAACAAACAAGAACAACAACAAAAAAACACCCTGCAGCTTTATGTCTGACGGGCTCCACACTCCCTGGTGGTCAGTGGCCCTGCTGCCTTTCATAGCTGGATGTTACATGGATTACTGGTCTTGGCTCTAGTGCTCTAGAATGAGGAGTGCAGCCTGGGTCCTGGGCCTCCATCTTCTCGGGAAAAAACATCCCGTAGCCGAGAACTCCCTCTTCACTCTTGGTCTGCTGCCTGTGAAAGCCGGGTCAGCCTTTCTCATGACCTCGCCCTTCCCACTGGTCACCAGGTGTTTTCTGTCTTTCCTTGATATAAGCCTTCTCAGCTGGACCTCAGTTGGTAATTCCAGATGAATGTTCCCCACTTTAGTGGTATTCTAGTCTGGCCCTGGGAGGATGTGCAAGAAAGGTCTGCCTATTTGGCCACCACCTTCCTGTCTCTTGCTGTTTTTTTATTTAGCTATTATTGACATATATGAGTTTCAGGTGCACCACATGATCCTATGTAATAAAAGGCTAATATGGAAATCAACTGAATGGTGGAATGACCGGTCACTATGATGTGCTCAATGCAGGAGCTGCCCCCTGGTGGTCAGTGCACTCCAACAGGGGGAGCACTGCTCAGCCAGAAACCCTGAGCCGGGCTCACAGCAGCACTAAGGATGACTGCTGGTGGGGAGTGGGCCTAAGTCGTCATTTGGACATCCCCTGAGGACTCCTGGACTTCGAGAGGTTGCAGGCCGGGCTGAGGGGATGCCCCCCCCTCCAGTGCACAAAATTCATGCACTGGGCCTCTAGTGATTTAGTATTTGTATGTATTGCAAAATGATCTCCACAATAAGTCTAGTTAATATCCATCAGCATAAAGTTACAAAAGTTTTTTTTTAATTAAAATTTTTATTGAGTTTTAGAGAGAGGAAGGGGAGAAGGGAAGCATCAAATTGTCATTCCCCTTATTTATACATTCATTGGTCTATTTCTGTATGTGCCCTGACTAGGGATCAAACCTGCAACCTTGGCATATTGGGACAGCACTCTAACCAACTAAGCTACCTGGCCAGGGCAAAAGTTTTTTGGTGTTGTTTTTTTCCTGTGATGAAAACTTTTAAGATCTCTCTTGGCAACTTTTAGATATACAACACAATATTATTAATTCTAGTCTTCATATTATACATTACATCCCCATGACTTATTTTATGGCTGAGAATTTGTACGTTTTAACTGCCTTTACCCATTCCCACTCATACTTTTAACCTTGACAATAACCCTGAATGAAGACTTGTACTTTGCAGCATTTAGAACTGTCTTCCAGTTTCAAGGTCAGAGAGTTACTGAAACATACTGTTCTTTTCTAAAGTGAGTGGATTGGACTATATCTACGTTTAGCTATGTCTTTTATCTGTGATTCTGTAAATTTTAGTTAAGCACTCAGCATTCAATATAGAAGTGTGTTTAATTTTTTGTTGTTATTATTATTATTTTCATTTCATACACAGCTTTGTACCATACTTTTAAGAAGATTCTATTGCATTTTAAATCATTTTTTATAACCTTTCCCTAAGGTATTCCCATCTGTCAGCAGCACTTAATTTGGAATAACGTGGAACTTGAAGATGATTATTGCTTGAATGATTACAAGTGAGTGTAATTGCATATTAATTTTTTTATAGATGCTCAGTATTGTGACTTCACTTAGTACCATTGTTTTTCTTCTGAATCTGTGGATCATTTCTCTTCTTCTGAATAGTTCTGTTTTTTTAGATTTCAGTGTAAATCCCGAACTAAATAAACTGTTGAACAAAACAGAAACAGAAGCATGGAAACGAGTGGAACAGACTAACAGCTGTCAGAGGGGTGGGGAAGCGGGGACTGGATGAAAGAAGGTGAAGAGATTTAGCCAAAAAACTTATATACATACCATACAGACACAGACAACAGTATGGTGATAGAGGGAAAGGAGCAGTGGGGGGTAGGTGGAGCTGGGCAAAGGGGAAGAAAATGGGGACATAAAGAGATTTTGCTTGGAGTGATGGATACACAATGCAGTTTGCAGATAATGTGGGTTTTTTTTGCCAGTTTATTATTATTTTTTAACTAGAGGCCCAGTGCATGAAAATTCATGCACTGAAAGAGGGGCCCCTTAACCTGGCCTGTGCCCTCTCACAGTCCAGGACTCCTCAGGGGTGGGAGATGACCCAGAAATCAGGGGAAGAGGAGGGAGCCCGATTCCTCACGGGGCCATGCGATTCTACCTTCGGCCAGGGGTTATGTTGTTGCTGGGGCACTGTTGGTCCTGAATCTGGTTTATTACACACTTGCATTTGCATTCCACACCCTGTACAACAGCAACTTTACAGAGTGCCCTCGTGTAATCCAGGACCCCTTAAGGGATGTTGGAGAGCCGGTTTTGGCCTGATCCCCACAGGCCAGGCTGAGGGACCCCACTGGTGCACGAATCTGTGCACTCCAATACTATGTTGAATAAGAGTGGTGAAAGCGGACATCCTTGTCTTGTTCCTTTTCTTAAGGGGAAAGCTTTTAGTTGTTGACCATTGAGTATTATGTTGGCTGTAGGTTTGTCATATATGGCCTTTACTATGTTGAGGTATGATCCCTCTATTCCCACTTTCCTGAGAGTTTTTATCAAAAAAGGTGTTGCATTTTGTCAACTGCCTTTTCTGCATCTATTGATATAATCATGTGATATTTATCTTTCAATTTGCATATGTGATGTGTCACATTTACTGATTTGTGGATATTTAACCAGTCTTGCATTCCCTGAATAAATCCCACTTGATCATGGTGTCTGATCTTTTTAATATATTATTGGATCCGATTTGCTAATATTGCAGATGATGTTTTATTGAGTTGTACACATGAAACCTTTTTGGTTTGGGAAACCAATGTCACCCCAATACATTCAATTAAAAAAAGATGTGTTGGCTCAGTACCTCATATTACCTGATCCTTGTCCTTTGAATCTTTGTTTTACTTTTTCATTATTCACTCTAAGCCAGCGGTTCTCAATCTGTGGGTCGCGACCCCTTTGGGGCTTGAGCGACCCTTTCACAGGGGTCACCTAAGACCATCGGAGAACACATATATGATTACATTTTGTTTTTGTGATTAATCACTATGCTTTAATTATGTTCAATTTGTAACAATGAAAATACATCCTGCATATCAGATATTTACATTACAATTCATAACA